AGAAGAATAGCTAGCAAAGATTTTCTCCTACTTATTCTTGTGTATTTCCTGAGCTTTATGGGTCCTAGTGAGAAAGTTGTTGCCTGTGTCTATGTGTTGGAGTACTGACCTATGTTTTTTTCTAGGAGTTGTATAGTTTCTAGTCTAATTCCTAGGTCTTTGTTTCATTTTGAGTTGATTTTTGTACATAGTGAGATATAAGGGTCTGGTTTCATTCTTCTACATATGGATTTTCAATATTCCCAGCACCATTTGTTGAAAAGGCTGTTTTTTCTCTAGTGTATGTTTTTGGCACCTTGATACCTTACATTTTTGATGATGTAGAACAAGGTGTGTGATGTATACATGGGGCAAGTAAGGCATTGGGTAAGATGGAGAGGAGGATACAAGATTTCATCATATTACAAAGAACTGTTTGCAATTAAAACTTATAAAGTACTGAAATTTTCTGCACTCAAACTGTGTGTAAATAATACTGTGGAAAGTGAAACCTTAGAAAGAGAAAACTACTGGATATGTTACCATGAAATTTATCAAAACTGTACAATTCAGTGATTTTAACATTCACAATGTGAAACCAACATCGCTACTTGTAGAAATTTTCATGTTCCCAAACAGAAACTCTACTCTTTGAATAGTAAATGTCCATCCCCCTCCTAGTATATTTGCTTGTAAACTTTAATCTACTTGCTATCTTAGTGAATTTGCCTATTTTTGATGCTGCAGAATCATGTACTATTTGTCTTTTTGTGCTTGGCTTTTTTCACTTACCGTAATGTTTTCATTGTTCATCATGTTGTAGCCTATATCAGAGTTTCATTTCTTTTTATGATCAAATAATAGCCATTATGTATATATGCCATGTTTTGTTTATAGTTTATCTTTTGAAGGATGCTTGGGTTGTTTGTACCTTTGCCTATTATGAATGATGTTGTTATAAACATTGGCGTAACAACATTTGTTTGCATCTGTGCTTTTAGTATAGACCTAGGAGTGAAATTGTAGGATCACATATAAATTCTGTTTTTTGAGAAACCGCAGTGACTGCACTATTTTACATCTTCACCATTAATCAACAAGGATTCTTTTTCTATATTCTTACCAACACTTGTCATACTTCTCTTTTCCCCCCTGTACTGGGGATTAAATGTAGAGCCTTATGCTTATGTGAATGAAGCTGCTATAAATATTGATTGGAGCAATACTATAGTGTGCTGATTTTAAGCCCTTTGGATATATTCTGAGGAGTGGGATAACTGGTTCAAATAGTGATTCCATTCCAAGTTTTCTGAAGAATCTCCATTCTGCTTTCCATAATGGTTGCACTAATTTGGAGTCCCACCAAAAATGTATGTATGAGTGTACCTTTTTCCCCATATCCTCACCAACATTTATTGTTACTTGATAATTGCCATTCTGAGATGAAATCGCCGTGTAGTTTTTTTTAATATTTATTTTTTAGTTGTAGTTGGACACAATTCCTTTGTTCTATTTATTTATTTTCATGTGGTGCTTTTTTGAGTTATTTATATATCCTGGAGATTAATGCTCTACATGAAGTGCAGAGGGCAAAGATATTCTCCCGTTCTGTACATTCTCTCTTCATGTTCTTGATTGTTTCCTTTACTATGAAGACGTTTTTTAGTTTGATACTATATCATTTGTTGATTCTTGAGTTTACTTCTTGTGCTTTAGGTGTCTTGCTAAGCTGAATGATGAAGAGTTGGGTAATTTGGGGGGTTTTGGTGTTAAAGTTTTTTGAGTTCTTTGTACATTCTGGGTATTAATGCCCTATCTAAGGAGCAGGTGGCAAATATCTTCTCCTATTCTGTACATTCTTTCTTCACAATCATGTTTCCTTTGCTGTGCATAAGCTTTTAAATTTGATGGTATCCCACTTATTGATTTTTGGTTTTATTTCCTGTACTTTTAGGAGTCTTAAGGAGGTTGGTTCCTGTGCCAAGACATTGGAGTGTTGGGCCTACATTTTCTTCTAGCAGATGTAGAATTTCTGATTTAATTCCTAGGGTTTTGATCTGCTTTGAGTTGACTTTTGTGCTGGGTGAGAGATAGGAATCAAGTTTCATTCTATGTATTACCAGTTTTCTCAGCACCATTTGTTGAAAAGGCTAGCATAGCTTACTTTTAATTCAAGTGTAGTACAAAATCCATTTTATGGAAAAAATATTTATAAGTATTGTTCTTTTTATTCCTAAGTAAAAGCTTGAGTAGATCCTATCACTATTCTCATTTATAGATGAGGAAGCTCAAGAAAATAAGATGATATAACTTGTCCAAGTTCATGTAAAATAGAAAGTAGTATAGCCAAGATTCAGACTTATCTGCCAATCTAACTCCAAGGTTTATATCCTTAACTGTTAAAGCCACATCCTCCAGAACAGTTGTTCTTAAAGCTCAATCCACAAGCTTCTGGGAATTCCTCAAACCCTTTTAAGGGTCTTTGGAGTCAAAACATTTTTCATAATGATATCAAAGCATTATTTGCCTTTTTTGTTGTACTGAGATTTACAAAAAGAATGGCGATAAAGTTTGATGGTTCCTTGGCATACATATATCAAGGTAATGACACTAGAGTATACTAGTAGTTGTTGTAGTCATCATTGCTGTATATTTGTAATTCTTTTTTTTTTTTTAAGGCTATTTACACTTAAGAATGTCCTTGTCAAAACAGAAAAAAATGTTAATTTTAATTTTATTAACTCTTGATCCTTGAGTCACATCTTTTTAATATTCTGAACGACTAAATAGAAATACACATAAAGACTTACATTGTACACTTAAGTATCGTAGCATTATTGTATGAGCTGAACTAGGTACTTGGTTTCATAGTACACTTTTACTTTACACACTGACTGACAAATTATAGTTTTGTAGACTTGGGTATTTGTCAGACAAAGTGGGTCTCAAGGAAATGAAGTGATAAAGATCCTTTTTTTTTTTGCAATAATAAAATTGAAGCTATCAAGAGAAAATTAGAATTTAAGAATTCTGCTACTATGAGCTTAACAGCTGTCTAATATTTAAAGAATTTTCGGTTGAGATGGGTGATGATATTAATGATTGTGTTATAAAATAGTATAATAAAACATGCCAACATTTGTAAAACCTGCATTCTTCTGGAAACAAGGAATTTTCCAAAGGACCAATGTATGGGGTTGCAAAATCCCATCAAAGTAAAAGGTAGATTTTTATGTAACAGCATAAAAGGTTCCTTGATGCAAATTCATATTCCATATTGCAAATAACTTTCAAGAAAACCACCACTTGTAAAGTTCCAATGCAGTATTTTAAAAAACAATCTATAATTATTTGAAAAGACTTAAAATACATCTCTCCATTCCAATTGTTTATCGCTGTGAAGCCAGGTTTTCTTTATGTATGTCTGGATAAACAATAGATTGCAGTGCTATGAAGGCAAAGCATATATGGGAATCTTTTATTAAGCCAGACATTAAAGAGATTTGCAAAGTGGAAAATATTGCTATCCTTCTCACTGTAATTATTTTTGCTTTGGTATATAGTTTATGTTTTCATAGAAATATTAGCATTTTTAAATGAAATTGGTCCATTATTATAACTTTAAAGTGAACTAAATATCAGTTAATTTATTTTCTAATATGGTAAATATATATGTAAGTTTAATATAGAGATAATACACATATTTACATGTGTTTTTTTAAAGGCTATTTTCCTTAAGAATGTCCTTATCAAAACAGAAAAAAATGTTAATTTTATTAATTCTTGACTCTTGAGTCACATCTTTTTAATATTCTAATGACTAAATAGAAATACACATAGACTTACACTGTATACTTAAGTATGGTAGTTGTCTCCAGGAAGAGGATATGTGTTATACTCAATACTCTTAGGGGTCCATCTTTTTTTTTTTTTTTTTAAGTATAAAAGGATTCCAAGAACAAAAAGGAAATATATTAAGAAAGTAAAATATGTGTGAGGAAAGAGCAACTAAAATTGCATATTTTTGAAATTGAATTCAGTGTCCTACACTTGATAGTCAAAGAAGCAATTTCTTTGGCATCCATAATTACTTCTTAGTCAGATATAAGGTGCATTCATTTTGTGAAACCATTCATAGATAAGACATTTATTTGTACAGTATTGCTGATTTCTGATGTTAACATTGTACTAATGTTAGTATTTATATGAGGATTATAGACCTTTATAAGCTATTCTAAAGCCTTTTAGGAGAGTTATGATTTGGATGAGGTCCCCCAAAAGCTTATGTCTGAGACAATAAAAGAAGATTTAGAGGTGAAATGATTGGGTTATGAGCGCCTTACACCAAGCAGTGGTAACTGAAGGCAGGTGAAGAGTGGCTAGAGGAGGTAGTTCACTGGGGGCATGACTTCGGGGTATTTATATTTTGTATCTGACAAATGAAGTTTCTCTCTTTGCTTCCTGGAACCATATCCCCTACTACTTTCCTCTGCCACTCTTCTACCATGAGGTTCTGCCTTGCTGTGGGGCCCTGAGGAATAGAGTCCTCTGAATTAGTCCTCCAATGAGAACTCTGAAGCTATGAGCACCAAAATAAGCTTTTCCTCCTTAAAATTGTTCTTATCAGGTCTTTTGGTTGACTAAAACAAGGAGTGTAAGTGTTTACTAGTTGACCACCTACTTAATGACCCTCTTTTATCTCCTCCCCACACCCCTCAACCCCTGCCCTCTTTAAAAGACAATGGTCTGACTGTGTTTGCCAGGCTGGTTTTGAACTCTTGAGCTTAAGCAATCTTCTTGTCTTAGTCTCCTGACCATCTGAGACTATAGATGTGTCCCTCCAGGCCTGGCTTAATCTCTTTGTTTTTAATTCAGTTCTTAGTGGACTGACTTCACTGGTGAAAATTTGTTATATAATATTGTTTATGAATGCAGTTCTATTCTTATGCTTATGTACAGGTTTTGGTGAATAGATACTAAAACTAAAAATGTCAAAATATATGTTTTTCTTGTCTCTGCAGGATGACGTAGCTTTGCCAAAGACTTAGAAGCTAAGCAGAAAATGAGCTTAACATCCTGGTTTTTGGTGAGCAGTGGAGGCACTCGCCACAGGCTGCCACGAGAAATGATTTTTGTTGGAAGAGATGACTGTGAGCTCATGTTGCAGGTATTGTGTCTACTCAGGACTTGAAATTAGCATAAAATATTTTCCTACTCTTTTAGAGAAAAATAGTATTTAGATTTGAACTTTCTGACTCTGTCTCTTAACTCTAGTTATGAGTGCAATTATTTTCCATCCCTGCATTATCTAAAAATAAGTTCTACATCTTGAGGATTGCATTTTGATAACTGAGAGCTCAAAATAGAAAAGTTTATTTCTAAGTAGGAGGTTTCATATTAGACATTTTAAAAATAAGACTTGTAAATAATTTGTATAATTAGCCTAGCATGTAGTAAATTTGAATTTTAATCATGGATACTTCAGGGATATTAGTTTTACTGCTTCTTTTAAATATGTTTATTATGATACCTACTAGTAGTTTGAGAATAGAAATTGTTGATATTTTTTTAAAAAATAAGTTCTATTATGTATATTTAAGTTTTACCATATGGTGTAGGTTATATGCAGATAGTAATTAATGTATTTATCCTCTAATATAGTTAGCCATATTTCTGTTTTTGTGATAAGAGCAGCTAAAATCTACTCATTTAAAAATGAATTTCATATACAGTACAATTTAATTACCCGTAGTCCTCATGTTGTGCATTAGGTGTCTAAACATGTTAATTTAATTTTACATATCTACTATTTTGTATTCTCCGACTGGTATCTTCCCATCTTCTAGCCCCTGTCTTCAGCCCTTGGTAACCACTTTTTTTTTTTTTTCTTGGTGTGTGTGTGTACATGTTTAAGAGTCTACATATGAGTAAAAGTCATGTAATATTTTTCTGTGTCTGGCTTATTTCATTTATTTCATTTTGCCCCAATATGGCTCATCATCCATGTTGGGGCAAATGTCAAGAGCTCATTCTTTTAAATATATATATACATGAATATGCAGATATCTTTACAAAGTGGTGATTTCATTTCTTTTTTTTTTTTTCCTGCTGGAATTTTTATTAGGATTCCATTAAATCTATGGATAAACTAGGGGAAATTTAACAGTATTAGTCTTATGAGTCTTATTAGTTTAATCTTAATAGTATTAGTCTTATGAGTCTTGAGCATAGTGTGTGACTTCATATTTTTTATTTTTAAAAATTTATTTATTTATTTAAATTACATATATATGACAGCAGAATGCATTTTGATTCATTGTATACAATTGCAGCACTTTTCATTTCTCTGGTTGTACATGATGCAGCGTCACACCCTATGTGTAGTCATACATGTACCTAGGGTAATGATGTCCATCTCATTCCACCATCTTTCCTGCCCCCATACCCCTTCCCTCTCTTCCCTCCCCTTTGCCCAATCAAAGTTCCTCAATTTTTCCCATGCGCGCCCTCTCCATTATGGATCAGCATCAACCTAGATGCCCTTCAGTAGATAAATGGATAAAAGAAACTGGTATATATACATAATATACTCATCATTAAAAGAGAATAAAATCATGGCGTTTGCAGGTAAATGAATGGAATTGGAGAATATCATGCTGAGCAAAATAAGCCAATCCCCAAAAATCAAAGGCCAAATGTTCTGATAAGTGATTTCATTTCTTTTGGGTATAAGCCCAGAAGAATTGTTGGGTCATATGTTAGTTCTATTTCTAATTTCTTTTGAAACCTCCACACTATTTTCCATATGGCTATAGCAAAATACATTCCTACCAACAACATACAGATTCTTTTCGCACATCCTTGACAATATCTTAAAGGATATGAGGCGGTGGTCTCAGTGGTTTTGATTTATATTTTCATAATGATTAATGATGTTGAACACCTTTTCATATATCTGTTGGCCATTTTTGTGTCTTTTTTGGAAAAATTCATATTCAAGTCTTTAGCCCATTTTTTAATTGAGTTCTGTTTCCATTTTGAGTTGTATGAATTCTTTTTAAAGTTTGAATATTAACCTCTTAACATATACATAGTTTGCAAATATGTTTTCCTAATCATAAACTGTCATTTCATTTTGTTGATTGATTACTTTGCTGTGAGAAGACTTTTAGTGTGTTGTGGTCCCATTTATTTATTTTTGATTTTGTGACCTGAGCTATTGTTATGATATTCAAAAATCATTGCCAAAGCGAATGTCTAGGACCTTCTCCCCTATATTCCCTTCTAAGAATTTTATAGTTTCTTAACTTACATTTAAGTCTGTTCAGTTTTTGCATATGATGTACAATAGGGTGCAGTTTCATTCTTCTGTGTGTAGAAATCCACTTTTCCAGCACCATTTGTTGAAGTCATGATCTTTTCCTTTTGTCCTCTTGGTACCATTCTCAAAAACTAGTTGACTGTACATTTTCAGATTTATTCCTGGGCTCTTCATTCTGTTTCACTGGTCAATGTATCCGTTTTTATGTTAGTAACATACTATTTCCTTAGTTTTTCTTGACCACTCACTAACTCTGTAATATAATTGGACCTTTATATTACAAAAAAGTAAAGGGTTTTTCATTGAAGGGGATAAGTCATGATATGGAAGCCACAATAGTAAATTGGAAGACTTTTGACTCCCATTTAAAAACAAAACAAATCAAAACCAAAAAAACCAGGATGTGGGATTTGGGAGAAGGGTAACATTCATATTAAAATAATGCAGTGGAATTAGTTTTCTAAGAGGAAAAGCCAAATTTGAGTTAAAGGAAGATAATGGGAGATAACCCATCTATGAAGAACTTTAGAACAAAGAGGAGTTTAAAGTAAGGCACACTTTAAAGAGTACACTGCATAGCCTTGGGAAGAAGGTCTTTATAAGAAGTAAAAGTCAAGAGGAAGGAGGCATAGACTTTTGTAAGGAACAGTATGGCAAGTGGACAGTAAATGGATAGTTTTAGATTTAAATTTTTTTTTTTTTAGTTGTAGATGGACACAATATCTTTATTTATTTTTTTATGTGGTGCTGAGGATCAAACCCACTGCGTCACTCTTGCAAGGCAAGCACTCTACCACTGAGCTAGAACCCCAGCCCTTTCATTCTTTCTAGAAGCATATTATGACAGGAATAAAGGCCCTGTCAAAATTGATTGTCTTTGTGAATAAAATCATGGCATTTGTAGGTAAATGGATGGAGTTGGAGAATGTAATGCTAAGTGAAGTAAGCCAATCCCCCAAAACCAAATGCCAAATGTTTTCTCTGATATAAGAATGCTGATTCATAATGGGGATGAATAGATGAACTTTAGATAGGGCAAAGGGGAAGGAGAGGAAAGGAGTGGGCATAGGAATAGAAAAGATGGTGGAATGAGATGGACATTGTTACCCTAAGTATATGTATGAAGACATGAATGGTGTGACTCCACTTTGTATACAACCAGAGACATGAAAAAGTGTGCTCTATATGTGTCGTATGAATTGAATCACATTCCGCTGTCATAACAAATTAGAACAAATTTTTAAAAATTATCTTTGTGATTTACAATTGGATCAGCTAAGGTTTTTCCATTAGTGTCAGAGGCTTGATGAAGTAAGCAGTCTTTATTAAAATTTAAATTGTTTCTGAATGATTATTATTAAGTATTTATTGAAATATCTAAATGGGTTGTGAAAATTATAGTATACCTTCTCTCTATTTAGTTTAATTTAGAGGAGATGTGAATATGATCATCTGGAAATGAAAATGGTTTTATTGTTCATATGGTTAGATGCAATAACATATCCTTTATACTCTCTTTTTCTTGATTACTCACTAGACTAGTATATTATATAATCTTGCTATTCTGCCCTAATTCTTGTGGTGGATACTGAACCACAATTGATACCTTGAATATATTTGATAACTGAAATGTAAAAATTTTGCCTTTCTTTTTTTTTTTTTTTTAATTTTTTATTGTTGGCTGTTCAAAACATTACATAGTTCTTGATATATCATATTTCACAATTTGATTCAAGTGGGTTATGAGCTCCCATTTTTACCCCATATACAGATTGCAGAATCACATCAGTTACACATCCATTGATTTACATATTGCCATACTAGTGTCTGTTGTATTCTGCTGCCTTTCCTATCCTCTACTATCACCCCTCCCCTCCCCTCCCCTCCCCTCTTCTCTCTCTGCCCCCTCTACTGACATTCGTTTGTCCCCCTTGTATTATTTTTCCCCTTCCCCTCACTTCCTCTTGTATGTACTTTTGTATTAAAAAATGACAAAATCATAGAATTTACAGGGAAATGGATGGCATTAGAGCAGATTATGCTAAGTGAAGCTAGCCAATCCCTAAAAAACAAATGCCAAATGTCTTCTTTGATATAAGGAGAGTAACTAAGAACAGAGTAGGGTCGAAGAGCATGAGAAGAAGATTAACATTAAACAGGGATGAGAGGTGGGAGGGAAAGGGAGAGAGAAGGGAAAATGCATGGAAACGGAAGGAGACCCTCAGAGTTATACAAAATTTTGCCTTTCTTTAAATTGGCTATTTTAAGAGTTACACAGGTGAATTCATAAGACTACTCTTGAAAAAATTGCCACTTTATTTATTAAATAAATAAACAAGATTTTCTCCCCTTGATCCTATGTAATATCTTCCTTTCTTCCGAACACCCAGAGTTGGAAAGATGGCTCAATTCAGTGGCCTCTGTTGTTCTCTTATGTTTTATGTCTTTTCTATTATTGTAGGGGTTTGTTTATTTACTGCCATAATAAGAAATGGTAGAGCAGAGTGTAGAATTCCAGTTTTTAAGCTATTAATTCCTTAACCTTTAAGTTTTCTTACTAGTTGTTGTTTCCAGCTGTGAGTTCTGCTCCTGGAAAGCTATTTTTTCTCTGTATTTGCTTGTCTATCTAATGGTAGTTTGCCCTCTGATGAAACTAAGGTGATTTTTTGTTTATTTTTGTTTGAGATGGGGATCTTGCTCTATTGTACAAGGAGGTCCTGAACTCATGAGCTCAACTTATCCTTCCACCTCAGCCTCCTCACTAGCTGGAACTAGAGACATGTGCCACTACTTCAGATTCTAAGATATTTTTTCCCCCCTATTCCAGGAATTTAACGCAAGGTGCTTAACTACTTAGCCACAGCCACAGCCCTTTTTTAAAATTTTTATTTTATCTATCTATCTATCTATCTATCTATCTATCTATCTATCAATCAATCTTTGTTGCAGGTTCTCACTAAGTGGCCTAGGACCTAAGTTGCTAAGGCTGGCTTTGAACTTGCAGTCCTCTTGCCTCAGCGTCCTAGGTCATTGGGATTACAGGTGTGCGACATTGTGCCTGATTTAGGATTAATTTTGATTTTTACTTTGTTCAACATTTTTCTTTCTGTTAGGTTTGAAAGGATGGCTTCCAAGTTCTTCACATATTAGGCTAGAAACTGGAAGTCATATCTCTTCCCCAGTTTTGATAGCACTTTTGCTTTTATATGCAAAGTTTTGTGCAGTTGCTCTGTAATGGTTATTGAGTTCAGATTCATCAGTTCTCTGACTCTTCCTGTGCCTTTACTGATAAATTCTTTCTTTCAGTAACAGTTTTCACAGGCTCTTAGTACATTGTTCAGATACTTCCATCTGTAGACAACTCACTAAGCTGTGGTGTGTGTATGTGTGTATATCTTAAAGGACGCTTCAAAGCCACTTTCAAAAAACATAGTTTGTCATTGCAATTTCTCTCATTTTTAGTTTTTTTTTTTTTTACTCTTAGAGCTCACCCATGAACCAGTTTTAGAATCTCATTTTAAGTGATAATAATTTTATTCAGAAAATTATCCCTTTATGTTCCCTTTTCTTTAAATTCCTTATGTAATTTATAATTTTTAGTATTGAGTAAAAATTATTTTTTAATTTTTTAATTTATATATGACAGCGGAATGCATTACAATTCTTATTACACATAGAGAGTATAATTTTTTTAAAGAGTAAACTTTTTAGCAGTAAGATACATAAAAAAACACTAATTCACATGATTTCCTTATAGCATTTTTAAATTATAAAAGGATTGTAATTTGATATATCCAACAAAGTCAGCTGATTTATTTTTTTGAAAATTATAACATAATTGTAGAAAGAATATTTTAAAAATTTGGCTATTTTTGTCTTCAGGGAGTGATGGTAAATTTGTGTTGTATAATAACACTTAAACCACTTTACTTCAGTATTTTCCTATTTTACCTATTATACTATTAACGTTAGATACTAGCCAAACATCTTTTGTTTGGTATTTATTCTAGTATTTTGTTATATTTATTAACTTAAGAAAAATTCCTTTCAGTCTCGAAGTGTGGATAAGCAACATGCTGTAATCAATTATGATGCCTCTACAGATGAGCATTTGGTGAAAGATTTAGGCAGCCTAAATGGGGTAAGTTCACAGGTTTATATTTGGTCTTGTTTGAATATTCATTTAATATTATATGAAGACAAATTGGATTGCATTTCCTATTTGTATTAAATTTTCTTTTTCTTTAGTTTGAATTTAACTTGTAAATACTTGCTAGACATATCACATTTTGGGAGCCATGTAACAGAGTATGAAATTAGCACATGTTCACAAGAAACTAATAGATACAGGAATTAAGACAGTTAAAGACTTCATTAGGAAGATGAGGACTAAGCTTTATCTTACTATATATGGCTGCAAAAAATGGTGGGAAAACATTATAAAGTCATGGCAGTAAGAATGCAGAAAATACTCTAAGGGGTCATAGAAATATGGGCTCACTTTATTTTTATTTTTCATTTTTTTAAGTTGTAGATGGACATACTATCTTTATTTTATTTATTTATTTTTATGTCATGCTGAGGATCAAACTCAATACCTCACACATGTCAGGCACTTTATCACTGAGCCACAATCCCAGTCCTGTCGGCTCCTTTTTTAGAAAATAAAGATGGAAAGTGGTTTGGGGCCAGATAGTGTAGGACCTTTTATATTTATACTAAGGTCAAAAACAAAGTAAAACACAACATTTACCTTAACAAGTATAGAATATTAACTAAGCACCGTTGTTTTCTTCTTGCTTTTTTGGCTTTATACTTTAAGATACTTTTGTGTTACTGCAATTAATTTTTTCTCATTTCTTCATTTGATCTTTCTTCATTTAGCAGAATATAAATAGCCGTAGAATATAAGAGGATGTTGAAGTATTGAATTATTTTAATTTTTTATGCATTTGCTAACATAAGCAGATATAATATTGTTCATATCTGTGTTTTTGAAATTCCTTTTTGTATTTGTGATGCTGGGGATTGAACACAGGGTTTGGGGCATGCTGGGCAAGTACTCCACCACTGAACTGCATCCCTAGCCCCTTGAAATTCTTAAAATAAATTTAACAGAAATTAAATCTCAACTACTTCAAGCTGTTACTGCTTTTCAAAATATGTATTGAACTTCATATGAATAAACATGCAAACATTTGGCAAATTAGGTAAAATATTTTTTCCTGGTCTTAAATTGGTCTGCTATTAATGGATTTTTCTGTTTGTTCTTTGAGACAAATTTTTTTATAAGCATGTTCTGTTGGTTTATTCAAGCCTTTGATATTTCATCATAGCACATAGAATTAAATCAGCATTCTTCAAGTTTGGACTGAAGTTGTTCACTTTTGGCATTAGCCACTTTTCCATATATGTGGCCCCACACTTTCCCTTGCCATACCTCTTTTCTTCCTATAATTCTTTCATTCTTCAAATAATTTTCCAAATATATTGTTAGATTTTCTTCAACTAAGTAGTTTGCCTGTGTTGCCGTTTATAAAAGTTTCACTTATTTTTAGAAGAAAATCAAATTCTACTCTTCCAGAAAGGATCAAAGAGAAGTCTCTTGTATTTATGAATATTAACTTCTGATGTTGTTGACATGCTTAAAGTTTAAAGTAGAGATGGGCAAAGAAGGTAGACACTGTTAAACTATGAGGCATGTAAGTTACCAAGTTTAATTCCCAGCTATTTGTTAAAATATCTTTTTTCCTTCTATGTACCCATAAAGTTTTGTTTTAATCTGTTATTTTGAGTGTTTCATCAGCCTGGTATTAAATCTGCTTTTATATCTCTGTTTCTATGTTTAATTATGAGCTCCTAAATAGTTCATGTGCCTTTGCTTCTGTAATTACAACCACAGTGCCTAGCATAGGCATGGCATGTGAACTTAGTCAATGTTTTATAAATGGAATTGAATTAATTTTGTATCCAAAGGACTTTGGGATGGGAATTTATCTTGCCTCGCATGTGTGAAGCCCGGGTTTGGTACCTAGCATGCACTCCCACCCCCCAAAAAAGTGGCACAAAATTATAATCTACATTTATATATGGAATATTTTAATATTTTATCAGTGTTATAAATTCTTTTGTATATATATTTTAGATGTAGATGGACATAATACTTTTATATTATTTATTTATTTTTATGTGGTGCTAAGGATTGAACCCAGTGCCTCACAAATGCTAGGCAAGTGCTCTACCACTGAGCAACAACCCCAGCCCTCAGTGTTATAAATTCTGTATTTAAGCCTAGAAAGTTTCATCTTGACTACAAGGCTGTTCCTATGTGTCTTTACATTATTATTTTGTGAAATAATGTAGTAGAATTATATTGGTGGTTTTTAGTCTTTAAAAATATTGTGATCAAATGTGAAAATTATTTAGTGTTGGGTTTGTTTAAAAATCAGATGAAATATGAACTTCTAGGCTATCATTTCTGTAATTTGATTATACTCAAAAATTTTGTGAAAGATAATCACCTATAGAGAGCAAGTTTTGTGTTTTAAACTTGGAATTAGGACTTAGATTTAATCTCATGTGTAATTTATTAGTTGTATCACTTGGAACAAAGCATGTAATCTCTTCAATATTCGGCTTCTTCATGTAAATTGGTATTGTCTCCTAAAGTGTGTGAAAACATAGAGTTGAAGTTTATGAAAAGTGAAGGTGTAATACAAAATTTGTTTTAGCTCCAAAATAGTGAAATGATAATTCCTGCTGTGTAGTATTGTTACAAGAATTAAATGTGATAGTGCAATGTGAGTGTGCGCTTATTATTAGAACCTTAAAGCATTGTACAAATGATAAATTTACTCTTACCTAATTAACAGCTGAAAACATGCCACAAAGGACATGGTAGACAAATAATGTCAGAGTTCTATGAACTACTAGCTATCATTTATTTTATTCATAAAGCATATAGACTATGTAATCTACATATTGTTCACTCTTAATGTTTGTGTAATTCTAGAATTTTGAGCACCAAGTTAGAAATAGTAATTTCAGGAGTTGGGGGGCATGCTAAGTGGTTATAGCCCAGTTTTAATTTTTATTAGTGATGTAATCTTGGACAAACTATTTAATTTCTCTTTTCCTTAGTTATTAAAAAAAATAGAAGCAATGAAATGGTACTTCACAGTTTGTTGTAAAGAGATAAATAAGTTAATTTCAAAACTTTGTTAGAACATAAATAGAAAATATTTAGTATATAAAGTTATTGCTATTATTGTTTTAGAAAGCTACTAAGACAAGTTTGGCACCATGTAGCCTATGTATTTTTCAATGAACACACTGTTGTATTTTAAAATGAAGCACTTACCAACCAAACTCAAAAATGTTCACTTCCACTTCTACTCCCTTTTACTCTATTCTCCATGCTACTTCCAAGGGACTAAATTTATATTTTGTTATTTCCACATTTCACTAAAAATGTAGTTATAATAAGTGAGAGGAAGCTGAAACTGGTTCTGTTGCTAATGTTTTAATAGATCATTTTTCTGCAAATTCAATGCGGCCTCTCTTTCCGTAGGAACCCTTGTTTGTGTTCGGTTCTTCCTACCTTCTCCTTGTACTGGACCATTCACCCCTTTGTTAAATGTCATGGTTTCTGCCAGATCTATCCTGTCCATTCCAGTCCTGGCTTTTGTTACTCTTTTCTCCCTCTCCCCCAAATGTCACATTAGGCCAATGTGATACAAAGTGGAGAATGGTCACACTAGAAGGTATAGAAGGTTAGGGAAGAAGATAAAGCTGTCCTAGTGATTGAGGTGTAGATTGTGCTTCTGGCCACTATATTCAGTTTCCCATAATATTAATATAGTATATGATGGTGTGATTAAATGATGTTGGCACAGAAACAAAACTTATTTTTTTCCATGTGAAATTTATTAATATGCTTCATATTTGATATACTAAAATGATTTTTCCCCTCTTGTCTTTGAAAATTTCTCTTTTGTAATGTTAGACTTTTAGGAGATAATTTTCTCCCAGATGTTTTCACTTGCATTTTTGTGAGCTGAACCTTTGTGTCTGGCTTGTTTCCTAAGTCTTTTTAGACCTTAAGGAGTATTTCTAGCATAAGTGACAGCATGTTAAAATTGTGTTTCATGATGCCTGAAAATCACCTAGTACATATGTTAAACACATTGTAGGTGCTTTATATTTAAGAGAGTTGAGCAGTCTTAAACTTTAGAAGGGTCATCTTATGCCTTTTGAGTGAACATGGTGTTTTATGTTATTAGATGCTGTCATTAATAAAATTGGCTCAAAACTGTTACATTCTTTTACACAGTGTAGCTAGTTGTTTATTTCCTGCATACCAAATATCAGTAAATTAATATTTTCATTAATATTTTATTTGTTTTCTTCATCTCTCACAGCTTTTCTAGTTTATAATTATACCTTATTTTAGTAAACTCCAAATGTGAGTTTTAAAACACTCTGAAATGTTTATTTTGGAATGAGCCTAAAATTAGAGTTTATAAATCCAAGAAGCCTTTGAATTTTCTTTGTGTTACCATTTTAACTTTTCTATATATAATATTGGAAGCTTCTGATTTAAAATTATTTAGAAATCATGCTAATGTGTGATTGAGTCTCAGTGGTATTCACTTGTTATCTGATTGGAATTAAAATTGCTATCTTTTCTAATTTCTTGATAGGTATAAAATTGTTATTTTATAACATGTTACAAAGAGCTAATTATACACAGACATTTGAGAATATGACCATAGTAACATTACATAACACTCTTATGTACTTTCCTATGCATCATTCAAGGCCCTTCTAAGCTTATTCACTATGGAGGGAACCTTTCAAAAAAGCTATATTGGCCATCTCGAATAAAGTGGAATGGGAAAAAAAAAAGAATCAAAAAGGAAAGAATATAGTAACTTTAAGTTTCAATTTACTAAAGAAATTTGTCAAGTATTTATATAATATCTTCATTCTGGGCAATGAAGTATAACATTTGTTCTGTGCTCTATATAATTCTAGTAACTTCTAGGTCTTCAACTCCAGTGATGCCAGGAAAAGTAATCATCACTTTTTATTATCAATGTCCAGTGGATTATTTTTATTTTATTTATATATATATTCAAGTCTTTTTACAAATAATTTACAAATATAAGAAAAGGATAGTAAGAACAACTTGAAATTTCAATAAATAATTTGGCACAACAAACTCAAATTTGTATTCCATATGCTCCAGGGTTTTAATTGTACATAATAGACAAAATGGTTAATGTTCTTTGAATGCAGATGACTGCTCATCAGCTTGTCATATATTCACCTGAAATGTTTCTATTTTAAAAATGTTGAATCCAGATGTCAAGTACATTTCTGATTGGTTCTAGCTTATTATTTCAATTGTTTTTGCTCTTGCATGGTCAAACGGTGTATTTTAAACTTTAACACCTTATAATTTTGACAGGATGGCCATTTTCTTCTATAATACTAAAACATTGATTAGTAGATCAATCCACTAGTTTTATTTCTGTATCATCTTTTTCCTTCTAGTCATCTTTGTATAGATACTTATATTGAGCATATGTCCATTTACAAACGCTATTAAATTAGCATTGGAACCAAAGTGGGGGAAAAGAATAACATATAGGAAGAATATGGTTAAAATTTCTTTTAAAATTCAAATTGGTTCAGGTTATTGCTGGAAAATACTGCATGATTCTTCTTATTGAATGACTGTGTAAGAAATGCCTTATTTTCTTTTTGTCCTTGGAAACATTATTTTCTGTTACTCTTTTGTCCATTATTTTGGTTATTTTTATTATTGTTAGAAGTAATTGAGAAAACATAAAATAATTACCATGGTCATGAAATATCAATATTTTAACATATGGGAAAGATCATTCACTAAGATCCCAGGATACATCTTAGATTCATAAAAGAATCTAAAGAACCCATGTAACAATTGTAAAATAGGAGTTTATTCAGTTATTTTTAAAAGAGTAAATTTTCTTTTTGCTTTTTGGAATAATTTTAAGAGTAAAAGAACCGAAAGGTCAGTCCTCACAAATTCTTTTTCAAAACAACCAAAATTAGGGACATAAGCCCTGATGATATATTTCACCCTTTACATTTTGCCAGCTGAATATTAAGAATTTTTCTTGGCATTATCATTAGAAATGATTCTAAGTGCCTAAATTCATCTTGGCAGCACCAGGTTCTTTGTTATCAGAAATAATGAAAAAGGGCTTAGTATGAAATACTTTTATCATGCTGCGGAATACATGGCATACCTTAATGATACAGAAGCTGTCAGCCACCAAATAGTATGTACTTTTTCAGTATCAGGTTTTCTGGAATATGAGAAATAATACTTGATATGTAACCTAACATCTTCTTTCTCTTTTTCTTGCAGACTTTTGTGAATGATATAAGGATTCCAGAACAGAGTTATATTACCCTGAAACTTGAAGATAAGCTGAGATTTGGATATGATATCCTTATGTGATTTTGTGCATTTATCCAATTTATTAAAAAATATTTACTCTGGTATAAATTAACATTTCTGAGACATAGAAATTCACAATATAGATATGCTAGAAATCTATTTATTCAATGACTTCCTATACTAAAATACTAGATGTTTTAAAAATATATTTTTTTAGTTATTATTTTTGTTTCTAAAATATCCTGGAAAAGTTGATGAACTCATCTTCCCAGTTTATATAGTTTCACTAGCAGTCTCCCTGCATTGTTATTGCACATGTTATTTGTATATCAAAGAATTTAACTGTGGAGAGAACAGGTGTAAGGGGAATGTTTACTTTTTGTACAGCCCAGGAGTTCCTTTCAGGTGGATGACAATGGCACAAATGAACTTCCTGGGAGGAATAAGAATAAGAATTTAAAATTCTTTTGTTTAAAAAATTAGAGTCTAATAACTGAACAGGGACACTACTACATTACACTACATAGGATAGCTTAAAGAATCCCTGGAGAAGAAACATGATTGAAGAAGATAACATTTCTGTTCATCAAGACACAAAATTTTATATAAAGGACTTTCTTATATTTAATTAAAATACAGATACTCCACATTATGCTGAATTATTTTTAAGTTTTAGTGTTTTGAATTTTGACTTTTATCTGGACTTTGATACTAAAGAATATATTAAACAGTGGCAATCTGGATGGACTTTTATCACTTTAGCAGAGAAATTGTAATCTCAACTAGAATTGATGCTGAAAGTTAATGTACTACTAACACTATAAAAATCTGTAGTACCATTTAAAATTTATGAAAAATAAAATTTAAAAGCTTTAAATTTTAAAATTCTTATTTAGGGCTGGGGATGTGGCTCAAGTGGTAGCGCGCTCGCCTGGCATGCGTGTGGCCTGGGTTCAATCCTCAGCTCCACATATAAACAATGATGTTGTGTCCGCCAAAAACTAAAAAATAAATATTAAAAAAAATTCTCTCTCTTTCCTTCTCTCCTCTATCTTTAAAAAATAAAAATAAAAAAAATAAAATTCTTATTTAAAATAAGAAAATGTTTTATAGCTTGTCTTAATGTTTACACTTGAAGAGCTAAAGGACTATATGAAAAGTCAAACCATTAAATATGAATGCATATTTGTTGTATATTTTAAATCTTTAAATTATCACACAAATGATTAAGTATTAGCATTAAAACCTTGGCAAGTGAGTCATTTTCCACCAGCATGTTTTCAAAAAATATATGCAAGTATAGTTTGTATTTACGTATCTCTGATTCTGTTAATATCAGTTGTTTTAAAACATGAGAAAATACTAAAGGGCTCAAATTTTAATAAACACTATGAAGTTAACTTAGAATTTTAAATCAAGAAAAAACTATTAAGCTAGACATGGTGTCACATGCCTGTAGTATTAACTATTAATAAATAACCCTGACTTTACAAATTGTACAGTATTTTCTTAATAGCAAACTAACTTTTTTTTTTTTCTTAAAGGAGAATTGAACCATGGTAGTAGATGTGAAGGTAGTGAGAAAATGGTAGTATTTTGTGTGTATTTTAAAGATGGAGCCAGTACCATATCCTGATTAGGTTGGATGGAGAGTGAGCAAAAGAGTTGGGGGGGTGGGGGTTCAAGATTTTGGCCTAAGCAGTAGAAAAAATGAATTTATTATTAACTGTGGAATTCTGTGTAGAACAGTTTTATGGGAAAAAAATGAGAAAAATCATCTCAAAAATCAGTTTTAGATTTAATTGAGGTTATTATTTTTCTGTTTTCTATTTGTAATTCTGCTAATTCCTTTTTTGGGTGGAAGCTGAGAACTTTTTTTCTGGTACTATTGTTTAGTGCTATAAATTTTCCGCTAAATACTGCTTTTATATTCTGAATACTCTCTAATTTCCTTTTTCATTTCTTCTTTGAACCTGGCTATAGATATGTATGTTATTTCATTTACAAATATTTAAGGAGTTTCTCAAAGTTCTTTTTATTATTGATTCATAATTTAATTTTGTTGTGGTTAGTGAACATACTTGATATGCCTCAAATCCTTTTGAGTTTATTCAGACTTGTTCTGTGGCCTAGATTTGATCTGTACTGGTAAATGTTCCGTATGTACTTGAAAAGAATATGCATTCTACTCTTTTTGAGTTGGAAGCTCTATAAATGTTCATTAGCCAAGTTGACTTGGTAGTGTTAAAGTTTTTTATATTTTAATTATTTGTTTTGTTTTCTATAAATTATAAAGGAAAAGGTGTTGAAATCTCAGGTTTGGCTGGGTGTGGTGGCACATGCCTGTAATCCCAGTGGCTCAGGAGGCTGAGGTTGGAGGATGGCAAATTCAAAGTCAGCCTTGGCACTTTAGTGAGACTCTGTCTCAAAATAAAATATTTTTGGGCTGGGGATGTGGCTCAAGCGGTAGTGCGCTCGCCTGGCATGCGTGCGGTCCGGGTTTGATCCTCAGCACCACATACAAACAAAGATGTTGTGTCCACCAAGAACTAAAAAATAAATATTAAAAAATTCTCTCTCTCTCTCTCTCTCTCTCTCTCTCTTTCTCTCTCTCTCACACACACACTCTTTCTTTAAAAAATAAAATAAAATATTTTAAAAAGTGAGGGTTGTTGCTGAGGATGTGTTTAAGCACCCCTGAATTCAACCCTTGATACCAAAAAGATTTGTCTTTTCCTCCTTGCAGAAGTTTTGCTTTGTATAATTTGAAGCTCTGTTTTTAGATGTATAAACATTTAGGATTATTGTTTCCTCTTGATAAATTCATCTCCTTTTATCATTGTGAAATGACCTGCCCTAATCATGATAATATTCTTTGATCTGAAATATGGCTTGCCTTAATTTTGATATAATTGTTCCTGCTTTCTTTTGATTAGTGTAATGTGTGTTTTTCTATTCTTTTACTACTAATCTGTTTTCACATTTACAGCAGACAGCATATAGTTGTTATTTTTTAGCCAATATAACTTCTTTCTTGGCAATCTAGATCATTCACATTTAATGTGATAATTGATATGGTTAGATTTAAATCTATCATATTGATATTCATGTTCTGTTTGTTCTGTTAGTTTTATGTACTCTTTCTCTATTTTTAATTTCTTTTAGATTATTTATTTTTATGATTCAGTTTTACTCCTTTAATAACTTATTGGCTTTTATCATCCCCCATTAAAGTTATTTTAGTGGTAGCTTATATTTATATCTTTAATTTGGAGTTACATCTTCAGTTGAATACTATTTCACATAATGTACAAGAAAATTGCAGTATTATACATTTTCATGTCTTTTGTCCTGATTTTTGTGCTGTGCTTATGTATCTTATATATGTCACAAAAATGTTACATTGTTGTTAGTAAAAAGTCAATTGTCTTTTAAAGAGATTTAAATAATTTGAAAATTACCTGTTGTTAAACTCACTGTACCTCATATCTTACACCTGTGAAACTTCCATTTCTTGTGTTCTTTATTTCTTTGTATAGCTTTATGTTTTCATTTGGAATCATCTCTTTCAGCTTTTCTTCCTTCATCATTTCTCTGCTAGTGATGTGTTCTTTTACCTTTTATATATTTAGATAAGTATTTTATCTTATTATTGAAAGTTATTATTGCTGGGTATAGAATTCTACATTGACAGCCAGGGTTGTAGCTCAGTGGTAGAGTGCTTGCTTAGCACATATGAGGCATTGGGTTTAATCCCCGGCACCACATAAAAATAAACAAATAAAATAAAGGTATTGTGTCTACCTACAACTAAAAAAATATTCTTTAAAAAAGAATTCTAGATTGACATTTCTTTTAGTACACTTAAGATTTTGCTTCACTGAATTTTTACTTTCATTGTTTTCCTTCATTCCTGGTTTTGAGCTATTTGATTTTGATGTTCCCTTGTGTAGTTTTCTTCATGTGTTTTGTGTGTGGGGTTTGTTGAGATCCTTGGATCTTTGAGATTATAGTTTTAGTAAAATTTAGAAAATTTTTCTCCATTATTTTTTCAGTTTATTGTTTTTTCTGTCTTCCACACTTTCCCTCAAGGACCCCAGTTAAATGTATATTTAAATTATATATTAAATATATACTTGCCATCTTCCCCTACTCACTAATACTCTGTTTATTTTTTAAAGCTGTATTTCTCCTCTGTGTTTTGATTTGGATTGTTATTATTCTGGGTCTTTAAGTTCACTATTCTTTACTTTGGCAACATCTAATTTACCATTAACCCATATATTTCATCTCAAATGATGTAGTTTTAGCTCTAAAAGTTCAATTAGGAAATTTTGTTGTTGTTGAAATTTGAAAAATTTGAAATTTGAAAATCTGTTAATATAATCTATAATTATGTTTATTATGAACTTAAATAGCTTTTAATAAAAGTTATAATTTTTTAATTTTTTTTAACACATAAATGACAGTGGAATGCATTATAATTTTTATTACATGTATATAGCACAATTTTTGTATCTCTGGTTGTATATAAAGTATGTTGACACCACTTCGTGTCTTCATACATGTACTTTGGATAATGATGTCTATCTATCACATTCCACCATCCTTGCTAATCCCCTGCGCCCTCCTTTCCCTCCCACACCTCTGCCCTATCTAGAATTCATCTATTCCTCCCATGTTCCCCTTCCCTACCCTACTATGAGTCAGCCTCCTTATATCAGAGAAAACATTCAGCATTTTGTTTTTTGGGGATTGGCTAACTTCACTTAGCATTATCTTCTCCAGCGCAATCCATTTACCTACAAATGCCATGATTTTGTTCTCTTTTATTTTGAGTAATATTCCGTTGTGTATATATGCCACATTTTTAAAATTCATTCATCCACTGAAGGGCATCTAGGTTGGCTCCACAATTTAGCTATTGTGAATTGGGCTGCTATATACATTGATGTGGCTATTTCCCTGAAGTATGCTGTTTTAAAGTCTTTTGGGTATAGACCAAGGAGAGAGATAGCTGGGTCAAATGGTGGTTCCATTCCCAGA